TGCGACCAACGGGCGCAAAGTCATCGACGGCCTCCGGGTCCAGGTTCTGAGTCAGCAAGGTGGCCACCCAGGTGGTGGCCAAGAAGAAGATAATGTGGAACAAAGAGTAATTATACTGCGTCGATCCTTTTTCGTCGTCCTTGGTGTCATACTCATCGGATTCGTCGTCGCTGTCATCCAGCGCACTGGCGGGCAAAGCACCACTCTCGACTGCCGCCCGAAGAGCCTCGGCCCGCATTTCGCGACGAGTGGTTGGCTGCTGGGTCACAAGACCATGCTCGTTGTCATCCGATCCCAGCTGCGAGTAGTTGTGGCCCCCCTTGGAGCCTAGCGCGATGCCCTGGGTGGCCGCGCGGGTGGTCGTATACGCGATGGTAGCCATGGTGACAATCGCACCCAAAACGATACTAGCCGTTCGGGTGCCTCGGGCGCGAATCAGAGGGTTACAGTGACGGTCATCTGGCTCCATGGACACCGCGGACATGGTGAGATAGGTGCAATAAACTGTAACCATGGCGGCCTGGGCCAATCCTGCTCTGGGGTTGGATTCCTGCACCATGGGCTGCACCGATATGATCGAAATAATAAGGAAGACAACGAGGTTAATCTATTACGGAAGTAAGCACGAGGCCTGAGGCGGCAGATGACAAGACTGTAGGAGACGCAGAAAACTTACAGTAATCGCAGCCTGGTTCATGGCGCATCCGCTGTGGGCAAAGAAGACATACATCAAGACCGTCATGACGAGAGATGCAATGTACATGCCCACAGTGGAGCCGATCAGAAGGCCACGCCACGTGCGTGAATCGCTATCTTCGATCTTCTGCAGGCACAATTCAGCCCATGAATGCGCCAGATCCACCAAGAGGATGAGACCCAGCAGGAGGAACAACATGGCGCAAATAAAGGCGATATAGTGGCCGTAGACGAAGAAAAACGACTCGGGGATGAAGAATGAAGCGACAACGAGCGCAAGCCACAGAATGATCTTGGGACCCCAGAACCCATTCTGAAGGACCGCACGGCCATCCTTGGAGGACCTGACACCAAGCAGCATGAAGGCGAGGATCAAATGGAAGAGCCCAAGACCGAAGTTGATTCGATGAACGGCCACCCAACCATAGCATTCTTTTCCATCACATCTGATTTCCATGTAATCTAGTGTCATGTGTTGTAACTTTTTGAGCGCCCATGGTGTGAGCATTATCCAGGAGATGATCGAATTGAACAAGAGGATGAAGGCATAGGCGATTCTCGTAGCCATACTGTTCGTCGGTGCCTAATGTCAGCCAAATCCACCATCACGAAGCGCAAGTTTAATTTTTCTATTCAAATGTCGCTGACCTGTTCTGAAACTTCCCGCATGCACTACATACTGCCGAGCAGGTTGCTGCGCCGCAGCACGATGTCGCGAGGGTGATGAGCTACCTTGATGTCAGTGGGGGGGATTAGATGGCGGTGATGGAGGTGCACGTACCGTGCTGGCACTGGGGAGAGCCAGCAGAGGCAGAGATAAGAGGGCACCCATGATGGATGAAGAAGAGTGTCACTCCCTCTCACTAAAGACAATGTTTGATCCAGATGCAGAGACGGGATGATAATAATCAGCCTGGGGATACTGGAAAGATGAAGACGGAATGGCAGGAGGAGAAGCCGCGGAGGTTCGCCGCCTTCGTCATGTGCCGGAGATCTTAGCGGATGGTTGGTTTCTTACGCGCGGCCAGCAAAGTCGGCTACGATAACAGCACCATAAAGCGATCTCAAGAGTATAGTTATTTGCACTAAATACTACTAGGTAGCTGTTCGGAAGGAGGCAGCACCTGCCAAACCTAGTAGGTTCAGCAGTTATGCTTTCCCTCCACAATGTCTGGGGATGTTACTCCACGTGATGGAGCATGCATTAAAAGTCACATGATTGTGTATCCGGGGCAAGTGTGCCGGTAATGATGACCTTATCGGCGATAAGCGACTGGCTGTCAGTCTGTCACACTCATTCGAGGTGGTACTGCAGTTACCATACGATACCATACTATGACTCCCCTCCGATCTCGTCCGTCCGGGGAGACTAAGCCTGAGTTGAGCTGACGAGTCCGACGGGACACATTTGGGGACACTTTGCTACTTGACTACTAATTGATTGCGTGGGAGGGTGGAGTGTACTAAATTTCCATTGCTGAAAGGACATCCAAACACTAACTAGTTACTCACGTCGCTCTTTTCTTTTTCTGTTTCTCTCCCTTCTTCCTCTTCTTGCACTCTTTTCTGCCCTTCTTTTTTATCTTGTGTTTTTCTGTCCTTCCTTAAACTACCACCCCAACTTACTACTACTACTACTACACTACTATCATCCGTGGTGCGGTTATCTATGGTCGAGGTCTAGCCGGCCGTCCTTACTTCGCTCTCCTCCGGTTATCGTGACGTGATAACGTTTATCCACTGCACCACCATCCCGGCCAACGAACTACAAATACTAGTCGTCCGGCCACTGCGACCCTCCCCCGCATATTTCGATGCGAAGAGTTCCCTACTGGCCTTCCCCCGGTGTCTTCGCCCTTCCCATCCCGCTTCGCCATGGCCGCAGCCTCGCCCAATAAATCGAAGCGGATCGTTTCCGTCGTAGCGGCCACCCTGGTTGCTCTCGCGTGTGGTACCAACGTGCGCTTCTTCCCTTCTCTAGATTCATATGAAGCTGGCTGTGGAGCACGAGTCTGATATCCGTGACAGTATGCATACTCGGCATGGGCGCCCCAATTCGCGCAACAAATGAAGATCTCCTCCACCGAAAGCAACTTCATTGTAAGCCGCCCATTGCGCCCGTCACCCAGAGTTCAACATTAATTGATAATACTTCCAGGGCGCGGCTGGGAACCTGGGCATGTATGCCTCGGGAATTCCGTTGGGTCTGTTGACAGATGCTCGAGGTCCGCGTCTGACGACTTTCTTGGGTGCAATCACGCTGGGAATTGGCTACTATCCCATCTATCTCGGTATGCCCTATATTGAACCCTACAGACCTTGAAACTAGCTGACGTCGGCATATACAGCATACGTCAAGGGCCCCGGGTCGATGGCCATTATCTTCCTGTCGTTTTTCGCTTTCTTGACTGGCTTCGGAAGTTGCTCAGCCTTCTCAGCATCTATCAAGACATGTATGCCAAGCCTTTCCAATGGGTCTGTTAACTTGTATGGCTGACAACATCGTTTAGCGGCTTCCAACTTCCCCGATCACCGTGGAACAGCGACCGCTTTCCCCTTGGCCGCTTTTGGGTTGAGCGCGTTCTTCTGGTCCACCGTATCCTCGGTTCTCTTTAAGGACGATACTGGCCGCTTCCTCCTTTTGCTGGCTCTGGGCACCTGTGCCCTAAACCTCGTTTCGATCCCGTTTCTTCGTATTTTGCCTCCTAGTGAGCCGTATATGCCACTCGGACGGGGCAGGTCCCCTGGCGTAGAATCTCAGCGACTGCGCACTACTAGATCTACAGAATTCCGGCACAGCCTGGAAGAATCTGATGAAGCAGGTACGCAGACCTTTATAACCTATGAATCCTGTCCCGCAGCGCGCGAGACTTCGCACTCGGTCGTGTCGAGTCCCCATCACCCCGGCCACAACCCCGATATTGACGAAACATCCTCCTTGGTGTCCAAAGTTCCCTCACGCTCATCCCGAGAATTCCTCAACCAACACGAGGAGGATGACGATGCTCTCTCCGATGTTGCTCCTGAATCCCCTCATCCGGACGTTCGCGGCTTGGCGATGCTTCCGAAGATTGAGTTCTGGCAACTCTTTTTGACGATGGCGCTTCTTTCTGGAATTGGTTTGATGACTATCAAGTTAGTACCATTATCTTATCTTTGCTCAAAACCGATGCTAACCGTTCAATAGCAACATTGGAAACAGCGTAAGGCAACTCCGCACAATCCCATTCATGTCAGCTGACTGTATTATTGCAGGCCAAGGCACTTTGGCAGTACTACGACGACAGCGCAAGCCCGAAGTTTATTCAACAGCGCCAGGTTATGCATGTTTCAATCCTGTCTTTCGGAAACTTTATTGGTCGACTTTCTAGCGGTATGTTGGCACCTTCAATGCTCATAATTGGCTGCTAACCACCTATAGGTATTGGCTCCGACCTTTTGGTGAAGAAGCTGAACATGTCGCGATTCTGGTGCTTGTTCATCTCCGCCTTTGTCTTCACCGTCACCCAACTTGCAGGCTCCGCCATCTCCAACCCTCATCAATTAGCCATTGTATCCGGATTCACCGGTATCGCATACGGCTTCCTTTTCGGCGTCTTCCCGTCGCTGGTCGCCCACACTTTTGGCATCGGTGGCCTCTCCCAGAACTGGGGTGTCATGACGCTTGCGCCCGTGTTCAGTGGCAACGTCTTCAATCTGCTCTACGGCAGTATCTACGACCGCCACTCGATTGTCGAGCCCAACGGAGACCGCGACTGCCCAGATGGTCTGGCTTGCTACCAGTCTGCGTACTACACGACGTTCTTGTCCGGCGTGGCCGGTGTGGTCGTCTGTCTGTGGAGTATCCTGCACGAGAGACGGATCCACGGCGCGATGCACAAGAAGTTCGAACATGACAGACTTGCTTAGGATGGAAGAGTAGTTTGAAGCCTTAGGAGTAAGAGGCTGAAAGCGGTGACTTTTTTTTTGTCTTCCTCGTAAATATACCCAGGGGATATGTGCCATTTTAACAGGCAATTTGGTTGGGATTTTCAACATAGAGGGCTCACACAATTTCATATAGACAATCATTGGTTTTCATTCATAGTGTTTCCGATAATTTCATCATAAGGGCAGTGCAGTCATGTAACTCCTCTGAGGTGTTCAAATCTACCCATGTAGTTCCAGCCCAAGCACTTTAACAATACACGAAGCTACATACTCAATACTATCCCAACTATAGTCTACAATTGCGCCTATTCCACATTTATAGTATAGATACCTCAGATATTCCCACACATCAACACTATCTATATAATAATACATCAATAATCCTTCCCCCTAACCCACTCATCCTTCATCAACAACTCCCTCGCACTCGGCCTCTCCCCAGGAACCCAGCTCAACGTCTTCCGCAGGAACCGCAGAAAAAGCCTCTTCCTATCGCCCTCGAGTCGCGTCACTCGATCATCCAGGGATTCTTCAGGAATCTCTACGTGACTTTTCCAGTTACCCATAGACACACAATTAAACTGGTCAGTCAAAACCCAAGCTTTTCTCTAATATAGATACATACTAGGGATAGGTTAAAAAAAAGACATACCATCTCGATCCCAAAACTTCCAACTCTCCTCACTCCGCCCAAAAACTCACCCGGCGGATGCCCAAGCAGGGCTATAATCTCTGCGAAGCGACGAGCATGATCATCCTGTGATATCAGATCTGGAGCATTGGTGAAGAGGTGGGTTGATTGGAGTAGGGACCATGCCTTAGCATCATACATCGTTAGTCTACTTCAACGGAGTTGATAGGTAGGTAGTTAAGGAGCTGTACCGTCTGCCCCAAAGCCCATATATCCACCTTCTCATCCCATTCCATATTAAGCATTACTTCCGGAGCTCTATATAACCCCAGCATGATGATAGAACCACTAGTCTGCGTGCCCGTATCAATGGGAAGAAGTAATCTCGCCTCCCCCAGATCAGCGAGCATGGGTTCCCCAGTCGTGAAGGGCATTCCGCGCGTAGCGTAGATGGTTCTATTATCCGGAAGGTGTTTTCGCGGAGCAGGCTCGTTGAGCTCTTCCTCTTCTAGGTCGGTGAGGATTGAGGTGTCTTCGATGCCTAGGAGGATGTTGGTTGGTTGGATGTCTAGATCATATCTTACTTAGTAAACTTATACATGGATTAATGAGAGAGAGAGAGAGAGAGAGAGGAAGGGAGATTAGGGGTCAATGGTTCACCTGTATGAACCACATTAGCTGAATGGAGATAATCCAGCGCAATGAGCATAAACCGGATGGTAACGCGGAGGAGATCTTCTGGTAATGCGTTGCCCTCCAGGCATTGGATGTAATCGCAGATGTCCATTCCGGATGGTTGGTAGAGAATACATGGCTGGATTCCGTGGGGACCTTGGATTTCGAAGGAGTCGTGGATGAGGCGGGTGTATTTCTGGCCTACATGTTTACTCTGTTCGGCTTTGGTGTGGTGGGCTTGTTTTAGGTGTTTGGATATGCGGATCTCCGGGAGGTGGGTGTGTTGGGTGCTGCGGACGTGGAGTTTTAGGGTTAGGTAGTTGTTGGTTCTGGAGTGGTTGGTTAGAGTGGTTCATGGGGCTGGTGAGGAGTAAGTAGGTAAGTGAATGTGTGAAGTAGTACGCATACTGTAGATCACGACATAGCCAGACGGTGGATGAGGATCCGAAGCCGAGTTTGGTGATGACTTGGTATCGGGAATTGAAGACTTCACCGATGTGGACGGGGTAGAATCGCTCGGCTCGGTAGTCAGGGAGAGATTCTTCTTCTAGCTTGGGGATGTGATTGAGGAGTTCGTATCCTGTTGTGGGGAATGTGCGTGGTGGTGATGGGGATGAGAGGGAGCTTGTATGTCTGTGTTGACAGGGGTGGAGGGGAGAGGTGATAGGCCATCGCGATGGTTTGGGACGGCTGATTATGCCATTGATAGGGCTACAGAGACGCATTACTGTCTTCATAGCTTTCTGAGCTATCTAGATGGTGATGATTGAAGTGCTGACTTCATGGATAGAGAAACACGTGCTCTATGTCATGTGTCTAGTCCTATCGACATGCATCCCTGTTCTGCCTATTCGAGATAACTCCGATTATACTCCGTGCCCATCACTGACACTCTAATTCGATCCCAGCCAAGACTGCTCTACAAAGAAGATCTCCCGATGCCAGAATCTTGAATACGCCCTTACATTCGTTAGAAAGATAGGAAGAGGCAGCCAGATGCCTATCCATCTACCTCCGATAAGTACTAGAGCCAACGAGCATTGCGCTCCAAATGGCGACATCCCCCTACATGCACTAAGTCATTACCCATCATTACCCCCTCACCTACCTATACACTCTATCTAACAATAAACCCAGATAACAATAATCCCATTAACCCAACAATAGGTTAGTATAACCGCATCCCTCTCCTTCAAAAGCGGGGAACCCTCCAATCAGCACACCCCCGACCGTCGGGAATCCGGGTAATAAGCAACCCCCAAGGGCCAGATTACCCTATATAGAAGTATAGATAGATCATAGATAGGATGAAAATCTGCTTACGGTTATACACAAGCAATTCCTTGAGTGAGGAGATGCCGATCAACGTCGTATCCCCGACGGACAACAAATCAGGTTGGGCCAATAATAAAGGGAGGATTTGCGTGATGGGCAGTGATAAGGGCAGATTGCAGATTGCATTGTAAGGAGGTCGGGTACAATTCCGGGTACTCCGGACTCGTGACCAGTGCACTTCGTCCATCGCACTGATAAGGAAGGAATCGGATCGACGGAGTGGAGTAATGAGATGAGATGAGATGCCCAGGTTGGGGGTTTCATCATTAAAGTGGGATGATATAGGGTCGGTGGTCTTAAGGATTAGGTTAGGTTGGGTTACAATGGGGATACTGTGAAGGTTTCCTTCCGCCTTCGGAAGTATAGTATGTGGTCACTCGGTACTGTTGCATCGGATGATCGGTATTACGATAGACAATGTTGGAAGAAGACAGTAGTTAGATTCAGGGAGTTAATAATAACACGAATTACTTTGAACACATGTAAACCCTTTACAGGTCCTTTTCTTTTTTTCTCTCTTTCTGAGGGGTTTTTTGTGCGGTCGGGCTGGGATGAGGAGGTTGGTGCAGGCGCAGAATAATCTCTCCCCGACTCATATCGGAAGAAATAGGATGAGTAGAAGAAGAGAATGGGGGAAAGTGGCTCGAAAAGAAGGTTGTGTGATATAATTAGGTAGTTAATCCGATATACAGCCAGCCAATGACAAGACTCGTAAAGGGTATCAAAGAGACCGGGGAAGATCAGAGAACGCAGCACCGCAGACTGTGTGCGCATTTGTTTACGTCGGTGCTGCCCGACGCACGTATGCGCGTCCATCGTCCGAACAAAGCCCCCCTCCCGTGAGGCCTTAGACACTCTTGGGGGATTTTGTCGGCGATTCCGCAGGTTGCTCCACGACGTCGGACAGCCGCATCCGCTTGGCCAGCGGCTCGCCGGGACTGTCATTGCCCGTCGGGTTGGCAGAGGAGGTCTGTTCGCTAAGCTGTCGCTCCAGCTCAGATATCCGCCGTTTCAGATCGTCTTCGCGCCGTTGGGCCTCCTCCAGAGACCGCCGGAGTCGTACCTCGGAGTCCCGGACGATCATCTCCGATCGGCGCGCAGTCGCGCCGCTCTGCTCCAGTTCCGTCACCCGGCCCCGGAAGAGTTCATTGATAAACTCCAATTCGCTCACGCGAGTCTTCAAAGAGGTATTGGCTGCGAGCAGTCCATCGTAGGTCTGTGGTGACTCGAGATGGCGGTCCACAGCCGCCGAGGTCGCCGTGGGCGAGGGCTGGCGCGGCTGCACCGAGGGTAGCGCATTCGGCTGGCTGAGACCATGATCGCCGATTGTGACACTATCGAACATGTGCTGGGGCGCAATGTTGGCATTGTGTTGCGACTGCGGGTGTGGTTGTTGCATGGAAGGGATACCAGGCGTTTCGGTTCGGGAGACGGGTGAGTTGGATCGGTCGGAATGGCCCGGTGATGCCTTCCGCGACGCGCGACGGTATCCTTGGGACCCCATGGGCGGCGTCCCTGCTTCGGACCTCGAGGTAGACAAGCCATTTGTATCGATAGCGCCGCCGGACTGATAAGAGATTGATATGGATGTTAGCGACCGTTATCTCAGGATCACGACGACAGTATACAGGCAGGGAAAATTTTTCTAGACGACCGACTCACCTTACGCTTGGGGCCCTGACCAGCAGTCTTGACCCGGTTGCGACTCTTGATGACATCGGTCTTTAAGCTTATCGGACGGGGCCTGCCATGTAATTTGAGGAACAAGCCACAGGCGTTGCAAAGGACGGAGCCGAGTTCGTCTCTGCGCCAGAGAGGTGTCGTAGAAGTGCCGCAATTCTGGCACACAGGCTGTAATTGAGGACGTTTGTGATCAGCCAACGTGGTCGCCATTGTTTTTGGAGCAGTAGGATTGCGCGAAGGAGAGGGGAGGGAAAGACAGAAGATGGGGAAGCGGACTGATAGTGGATGGAGGAGGAAGAGCGCTGGGTTGATAAGATCGGGAGAGATTTGATGGGCTGGCGCGATAAGGAGCAGGTGGTGCGGCGCCAAGCCCCCAGCGGCTGCTGATAACAGCAGATTGGATTGGCACAGAAAAAGAAACCCAGGAAATTAAGGGTCACCCTGAACACCAAAAATTTCACCCCAAAGCAAGAAGGAAAAAGCAACAAAACCAGCGTAGCTCGATAAAAACCATCGTCCTCCGATGATAAGATCGTTTCAGTAACTTACAGGATTATTGCCCTGCCCACCAGTAGTGGCAGCCGGAGAAGATGTCGCGTATGTCATATTGGCCATACTGGGCTGCGCATTGCTACTCGAGGCTCTGTACACGTAAGACTCGTCAGCATAACCAGAGATACGGGCGCATTGGGCGTGTGAGCATTCAAAATTATCATATCGCCCCTTCGGATATGGCAGGGGAATCACGTATGATCTTCACTGCGATTCCCCTCTCATTCCGTCACCTGGTCTCGTCTATGCAACATCGCATAGGGAAAGGTTCTTGCTAGGTACACATACCGCAGATTGGAAGTGGGCGCGGATGCGACCGAGGCCAAAGCAGAGAGTCCAGGCAGAGATGGGCCCAGAGAGCTGGGAAAGGCACTACCGTTGCTGCTACTGCTCGGGCTGTGGGTGTATTTATCTAGAGAACTCGCCTCGGGAAGCGTTGCAGAATACTGCGATGACGCTGATGATGCTCCCGCGCCAGTATCCGTAGTCGATTGACGTGACCCCGATTGACTGTCAGTCGAGGAGGAAGTATGTTTGTAGTTCGAGTCTTGAGACTGCGAGTTCGACGGCGACGGCGGACGAAGGGCTGGGTCGATGGGCGACGCCCGGAACAGGAGTGAAGCCACCGTGGAGGTTGTCGGAGGGAACTAGCTAGAAATCCGGCCCCAAATGACCGAATTGTAGACGATTCGAGGGGAGGTTTTCCGTCGTTCCGGGAGTGGTATACGACGGTTTGGGAGGAAAGATTGGTGCCGTTGGAGAGGACCAGCCACGTCTGAAAGGGAGGAATGATATGGAATGTCGTTCAACTTTTTCTTGGTTGATCAGTTTTGATCAAACGATCAATAGACTTTTTCCAAGCCCGAAATGATTTTCTTTTTGTTTTTGATAATTGCTTTTGTCCGGCCCAAGGGACATCAGAGATTATACTCCAGGAGTAAAAGATCTCAACACAAGGCTGTCTCGGGGACAAGTTGCTGCAAGTCGACCCAAGGAGCGATTGCTGAAAGGAGCGACAAGAAGGTGAAAAACAGAAGGATTCAAGCGGATTGACCGGAAAGGAATCATGCGAAAGAAGCTGATAGGGTTTGGGGAAGGGGATTCGAGACAAATCTGGAGGGGAACAGGATGGTCGGGAGGGAGAAGGAAGATCGAGGGTTGATTATCGGGGCTGCTATCGCGCGTCGGAGGCTATCGATTATTTATCGAAATGGCTCTGCGGAACCGCCGCTTGGCTGGGCCCAGCCGAGTCTTGGATACTCAGATTAAATCTTGGATAGGGATCCGTCACCCGTAGGAATTCCTCCTTATCACCTCCTCCCCAGTCAGTCCCGGGCTGTTGCTATGCTATGCTTCTGCTCTCCAAGGTTTATGCGCCTATCTAATAGTATGCGCGGGACGGGCCCGGAATGAATCTTCGCAATGTTGTTGTCGCGCCCCTGCATGCCCCTTTCCCACCAGCCTAGTATTTACTGTGATCGCCCCTGTGTTCTTTTGTCTTTCAAGCTTGTCCTTCAATGGCCAGAGACCATCATCACTCACGACTTTTCTATAGTGGAGTGGAGGCTGAGGTGGAGCTGAGCGTCAATAGCAGACGATAGTTGACCGGCAGAGTGGCTGACCAGGACTCATGCTTGCTGTGATCGGAATCAGTCATGGTATTGCTGATTGGTGCGCAATCACTCGACTGTTGACGTTCTCCATTATAGCAATTCTTCATACATCATGCTACTGCACCTCGTTTTACTCTATCGGTCCATGTCTTAGATCGTAGCATAATCTCGTTGGAGGGACGAAGCCATGGCGCGCATATCGCGTGGAGTGGAAGTGCTGGAAAACGGCTGCCAGTGTCTGCACGGGGTCAATGGCAGTAGCTGTGGTCGATGAACTGGACGACAAGTATCAACCATAAGACCCCGATTTATCTGGCTCAATTGAACAGAGCATGGCTGTTACTATTTGTAGAAACAGAGACTGCGGAGTGAAGTAGTAGTTTGTTGTGCTTTCTCGCTCAACCCACTGACTCTCTGGATCAGAGGGGAATTGACAGCTCTAATTGAGCAGCAACCTTCTTGGTATCTCTCCCCTCCCCCAGAAAACGTCTATTCCTTCTCCGGGGAAAAGCATCGCGTTGCGAGCCATCGATAATTCAGGGGCTTCCGTGAAGCTCGAGTGGATCCCAGCGGCACGATACGACCAGTGGTGGCGGTGCGGTATGGTATGGTATCCGGGGTGTGGCTGATTTGGACCCTGACTGCCATGTGCTTGACTAAGCCGCCGTAATTGGTGGTACGGTGACGGTACGAGTGGTAATTGCGGCGAGCGGCCACTTCTTCAAGATGACAGCGGCGCTGCCTCGAACTCTCTCTCCGGCTCTGGATTCTTGGAATCTGCTCTCTCCCTCCCTCCCTCTCTCTGTCGCTCTCCCTACCTCTCCGTGGTCGGGGACTATCGCTTCTACTTTGTCTTTACTCGTCTCTAATCCAGTAATGGCTTGAGTTTGTTTATCAATCATCCTTCCCCTTCTCGCCGTTCATTATCCACCTCCTACCTTAATTCTTTCCCTTGCCCCGTCGCCTTCATATGGTCCGAAAGTGGTTGCCTCCCGACTCGACTTGTCCCATTATTTTATAAACTATCTCGCTTCCATTCACTATGCCCAAAAGTAATCGGCCAGCGACCTCGGGTTACGCCCGCTTGGCTCAAGAGGAGGAGGATAGAGCCAATGACTTGTACGATTATTCCGACGATGACGACCTACACGCCCCCAGCACGATTTCCCAGTCCGCCCCCCGATATGCTCCCATCTCCTCCCGAGCCCAGATGCAGGCCGCCGGCCTGTCCACACCTCCCGAACACCGTCGACGACTGAGTGGCCACTATCGCCGAGGACGGAGGAATTCCGGGGTCGACATCAAGGCCATCAATGCCCGTCTCGAACGGTGGGCGGAGGAGATCGCCTCCAAGTTCAAGATCAACCGTGTTAAGGGCAAGACCTTCGAGGAGGAGAAGCTGGAGATCTATCACTCTGTCTTCCAGGCTCCCGACGGAGTACGGCCCATCTCTGCGGAAGCCCTTGAGTCGGATGAGATCGAGGGGGCTGCGCGCAGAGCCCGGGACGAGTTCGAGGAAGTCGTGGAGAGTGTCCGGATAGCCATTGAGATGGGTGTCCATCCGAGGATGATCTCTCAAGGAAGCTCTGGTAGTTACTTTGCGCGCAATGCCGAGGGTAAAGTTGTGGGAGTGTTCAAGCCCAAGGATGAGGAACCATATGCATCCCGCAACCCGAAGTGGACCAAATGGATCCACCGAAACTTATTCCCCTGTTTCTTTGGCCGGGCATGCCTGATTCCTAATCTGTCGTATGTCTCGGAAGCCGCGGCGTATGTTCTCGACTCGCGTCTTCACACGAACCTTGTCCCTTACACCGATATTGTTTGGCTATCTTCGAAATCCTTTTTCTACGATTTCTGGGACCGCAGGAAGGCTTGGATGGGCAAGAGGCCGCTTCCTCCAAAAGCAGGCAGTTTCCAGGTCTTTTTGAAGGGCTACAAGGATGCGAACCTCTTCCTGCGAGACCACCCTTGGCCAGATCAGACCAACACTGGTTTCCGAGCGGAGGATGCCCCGAAGCGCAAGAAGCGGCCGTGGAGTGAAGCTTGCCGCCCCTCCGGCGTCCATTCCGATGACGAGGACGAAGAAGAATATGAAGACGGTCAGGCGCGCACGCCATCCCCCCGCGAGGAAAGCCGAGAACGGCGGTTCTACTGGACGGAAGGCTTGAAGCAGTCGTTCCGGGAAGAACTGGAGAAGCTTGTGATTCTCGACTATATCATGCGGAACACAGATCGTGGATTGGATAACTGGATGATCAAGATCGATTGGAAGACTGAAGAGGTTTCCATTGTCGCTGACCCGCCCAAGCCCAATGGAGCTCAAACACAAGAGGATGATGAAGATATGCCGCCTGCTCGTCCCGTTTCTGTCAACTCCAACGGAACGAGTGCAGCTCAGCATCCTTATCGGCGACGTGAAGCAATGGTTGCCGTTAGCCGTACTGGGACCCCATTGAACGCAACCGACCCTCAGGTGACCGTTCAGATCGGAGCCATTGATAACAGCTTGTCGTGGCCATGGAAGCATCCGGACGCCGTAAGTCCACCGTCTTGATAACAACGCGATGTCACAAACCCTACTAACCTGTCACAGTGGCGAAGCTTCCCGTTCGGCTGGCTATTCCTTCCGGTTTCTTTGATCGGTCAGCCGTTTTCGCAGAAAACTCGCGACCATTTTCTGCCCCTTCTTACCTCGACGGCCTGGTGGAGCGGGACTCAAATGGCCCTCCGGCGGGTATTTTCGCAGGATTCCGATTTCAAAGAGAGCATGTTTGCTCGACAGATTGCAGTCATGAAGGGGCAAGCCTGGAACGTAGTGGAAACGCTGAAGCACCCCGATCATGGTCCGCTGGAGTTGACACGACGGACGCGTGTGTGCGTCTGGGATGACTTGGTGGATGTTCCAGTCGCGATCCCCCTCCGCGGGCCGTCCACTGATGCGCAGAAACGGAAGGTGAAGAGCTATGAACATTACGATAAACACGCCAGCTACGATCCCGACAACGAGGAGATGGACATTGGCGCCGCTATGTCGTTTGGTACTGGCCCTGATGTTGACCTGCTGGGGTTGAGTTCTCCTCCAAATGAGCTACCTAATCCGAACCGATTCGAGCTCTCCCGCGGGCGCGGGTCCAGCTCGGGACATGCTCGGGCCCAGTCCGGCAGCCCTGCTACGATGGGCGACTATCGATTTGGGCGCGACAGCATTGACGAGCTGAGCCAGGGACGAGGCCTAGACCGAAGCTGGGCGACACTCCCTCCCCGCCCGGGCCACCGGCACCAGAAGCACAGTTCGGTGTCCAGTGCGCGCGGGCAGGCGCATTTGATCTGGAGTAGCGACGACCTGGAAGGCGACCTGGGATATGCCGCCGCAGAGGGAATGGAGGGCAACCAGCGCAAGGTGATTGTCGAGCGACTAGAAGCAGTTAAGAGCAAGAACCCGGTGTTTACCTGGTGTTAACCCGGTTGTTTGCTTGCGATCAGTCAGGATCTGCTCTCTATCGGCGCAGGTCCCATCTCATCTTTCCATTCTTCTTCACATTCTTCTTCTCTTCTTTTATTTAGCGTGTATCATGATAACCTGGCATGAGGAGTTCTTTTGCAGGGTCTGGTCCTTGTTGGAAAAATCTTGATGGTTTAGTCATAGAAATGGAAGTTGATCTTCGCGAGGGATTTTTGGGCGGTTGCCTCCTTGTCTGTCTACCTTATACATAATACACCAGTATATAGTTTTTGAAGTACATTTAGAATTCTAATACAAAGTCAGCGATGGTGTAAGAGTGCTTTAGATTTTTGGGAAAGTCAGACCTCTTATTATCCTAGTTATATAGAAATCTAGATATTGATATCAGACGAATATCCGCAGGTGAAAAGTGGGCACTGAAACAGCGCCGACCGAGGAAGACCCGCAATCTTATCATGTATCGGTGGTTCCTCGTCACGGTCAAGCAACTAGATTGATACTTCCTACTAATTATCTAGTTACTCTCTCTCTTCTTTCCTCTGTCATTCCTCACTCTACCATCATAACTGGCTTGCTTCTTTCGGCGCTTCCTCTTGCCCGGCCGATCATTTCATCCTGGCCGTAAGATGGAAGAGATCTGAGCTCCCCCTCACACACTCTCTCACTTGACGCTCATCCCTACGCCGCCACCACCAAGGCTACCACCACCACTACTACCACCACCACCAACTAACCGGACTGCCGCCCTCCGAGTAGCTCTCTCTCTCTCTCTCTCTGTTGGATGCTCAGCCCAGCCTTTCCCTCCACCTGCAGCAGGCAATCCCGACTTTCTTTCGAACCGATCTAGATGTCCCTCCCAGTCTCCCCGCCATCGTCTCATCCGATCCGTGATCAGTCACTGGGCCTAACACTCTACGTCGCACGCGTGTCTCGGGCACCTGCATCCAGTATCGAATCATGGCTTCCCACGCCGCCATGCTCCTGGACCCGCGGGCCTACAAGAAACAGCTTCAACAGCAGCAGCAGAAAAACAATGGTAACTCCCCGGATCCCACTCGAACCCCATCGGATCGCTGGAGCGATGGACCCAGTGACCATCACCAAGAGGACCATCACCACAACCGTCAATACTCCTTGCCTGCCTCGCTGCGTTGCCCCTCCCCTCCAGATGACCCCATCGACTCAGACACCAACGAAAACTCACTTTCTCTTCTAGTAGGAACAAGCGCCCAACAGGATCCGTCGTCCTCGCCTCAGCGCACTGTCGTTGCGCCGCCCGCGGGAACCGCCTCCGCAGTGCAGCGGCTTCTAAGTCCCCGGCGCCGTCAGCCGTCGCAGCGGGCGAGCCCCAGGTCAAAGTCCAGATCGCAGTCACTATCTACAAGGTCGCCGAGTACCCGCGATACCGGGAGTTCGTCGCCGCAGCAGCAGGAGGCGAGTTTGGAACCCGCGCTGGATGTGGAGTTTGCTAGTGCTCAGTTCGAAGAGCGGACGGACGGGAAACGGTCATCGGAACAGCTGGATGAGACGCGCCACGGGAGTTTAATTGAGAATATGTACGGGGTGGAGGGGCGTTCGAGCCAGCTATACAAGAGGGTCAAAGTAGAAGAGAATGGGCCAGGG